ATAATCCTTATGACTAACGTCCGTTAGAGAGAAACGTTAAGACCCCATAAAAACCATTTGTATACTTTTTTAAAATTTTGCATATGGACCATTTGTAAAATTTAGAAAAAGTCTATTAAACCTTGTGTGATTATTATAAATCAAATAGAAGATAAGAAAAAAAAAACTAAAGTATAAAAATTTTATTGTTTATATAAATAAATATATTTAACTTTCTAACTTTAATCAACATGCAAAATATTTTTTTATTAGATAAATATTTTTTATTATCTAGCCTATACCTAAAATATTCAAACTAAAATACATAATTAAAATATTTATTTATATTTTTTTGTCTAAAAGTATTTGAAGTATAAAAATATCATTTATCTATTTTTAATTTTTCCATGATATAATTTGAGATATTTGTCTTTATTTTTCTTATATATATATATATATATATATATATATATATATATATATATATATATATATATATATATATATATATATATATATATATATATATATATATATACTTTTATAATAAAAAAAATATGCCACACTATTATATAAAAAAATATGTTATTATAATAATAATACTATGTTACCTTTTTGTTTTAAAAATATAAATATATGGTTTTGAGTTAAATGTAAAAGTATGTTTGTGCATTGGTTTCATAATACACTTACGTTGTTGTCTTCAGTCAAAAATAAATCTGAACAATCAATGAATTATATTGACTTTAAAAGTATTTACTGAAATAGAACAAAATAAAATTCAATTTAATCGTATGTTATTTAGATTTAACTTTTAACCAAACCAATTAAACCGATTAAAGTGAATTCTATTTTGTTCTATTTTAGTTAATATTTTTAAAGTTAATACAACTCATTGATTGTTTGGATTTTATTTTTGATTTGAAGACAACAACCTACTTATATAATATTACCAGAGCGAAAAGATACTTTTACCTTTAATTAAAAAGCACATACTTATACTTTTAGAATCAAATGAAAACACGATATTATTCCATAAAGAAAAATGATGTGTCAGAATAATTACATTTTTGTTTTGTTTATGTTTAGATAACTTTTTTTTCTTACATATTTAACCAATGAACTTGTTAAATGTGTTTACATATTATCATTGTCATCTGGTATCTTAGGGGACAATGGTAACATGTGAACACATGTACCAAGTTAAATGGTCAAATATGTACAAAAATAGAAAGTTGTTTATATGTGAACAATTCTTTTTTAATTTCTTAAGAATTTTTATAATTTAATACAATATTTTTAAGATATTTAATTATTATTGGATTTTCTAATAAATGTTTTAAACATCGTTCATAATTTAAATTTTTTTTTTTTTGTACTTTTATAAATTTTCATACAACTAATTTTAAACCGAGTATTTTCTAAATATTTTTAACTTTTCATACAATTTTTTTTTTACATTTTCATACAACTTTTTTATAACTTGCACACAACTCTTTCTAAACTTTCTTTTATAAAAAATTAAAATGTTTCATAGATTTTGTTTGACAATTTAGTACTTTTTTTATAACATTTTAAAATACTTTAGTTAAATACAAGTTTAGAACGTTGTATTAAAAAATTAAAATTTTTATAAACTTTTAATTATAAAGTATAAAAGTTGTAATAATTTTAAAATATTCACATTATATATATATTATATATATATATATATATATATATATATATATATATATATATATATATATATATATTCATTTTATATGTATTATTTTGTTTTTGTTTTTTTAAAGACCCTATATATTTATGGTTATGTATTTAATTCTTTTAATTTTATTGTTAGATACTATTTAGTATAAAATATTAAGAGGCTATATAAAATATTACAAAAGAAAAGAAAAAAAATTATAAGAGGCTATATAAAATATTTCACAAAAATAAAAATATGCTTAAAAACAAAAGAAAAAAAATTATACGAGGCTATATAAAACATTTCACAAAAATAAAAATATATTTATTAATTAATAAAAAGTTTATAATTTATCAATGATTAATTATTATTTATGATAATAAGTTTTTGCAAAAATAAATTAGTAGAAAATTAATTTGTCAAATCAAAAGGTTATAAATGGGATAAATAATCAATCATTATGGATGCTTTAAAAAAAACACTTGAAAAATAATACAAACAAATATCAGAAATAAAATCTCTATTAAAAGTAAGGAAATGACTTATGGGTAATTAACTTTTCATTTTGTTTACATTTAGATAATTTCTATTTTTGTACACATTTGACCATTTTACTTGTTAATTATGTTAACATGTTACCATTATCACCTTAGATAGTCGGTAACAATGTTAATATATGAACATATTTAACAAGTTAAATGATCAAATGTGTACAAAAAAGAAGTTGCATACATGTAGGGGTGTCAATTTATGACACGACACGAAAAAAATACACGACACGAAACGAAATCGGGACGAAATCAAAATTCAAATTCGTGTTTGTATCGTGTTCGTGTCAACATTAAAAAACACGATGTCGTGTCGTATCGTGTTTGTGTTCATAAATCGACACATAATTGACACAATTAAGCATGTGGTTGTCGGGTTTTTCTTGTTTATCGTTTTTATCGTGTTATATATTTTTAAGTATGAATGAAATACAGTAATAGTTATGTAGTATTATCTTTTTCGTGCGTGTCGTGTTTTAATTTGTTCGTTTTCGTGTTAATGAAAAAAAAACACGACATCGTGTCGTGTCGTGTTCGTGTTATACAAAACCTTATCGTGTCGTGTCGTGTCAGACAAAAACATGACACGACTGTCCGATTTGACAGCCCTACATACATGATAATAAAACGAAAAAATGATTGCCCAGATAAGTCATTTCCCCTTTTTATAACATCGTGTTCTTTTTATAGTATGTATCATATTTTTTTTTTATAAAAATAAAGATATTTATTTGACAAAATTAAAGATAAATCGTTCAAATTATACCACAAGTATATCAATTAAAAATTTTAAGTAAATAAATTTATATTTTTATAATTCAAAAGATTTTATATAAAAAAAAAAGAAAATATTTAATTATATATTATAGTTTAAATATTCTAGATAAAATTTAAATAGCAAAATTATTTATATATTAAATAAAATATATTTACAAGTTGATTAAAATTAGTAATTTCTATTTTTTATTTACAATAATATTATATTTATATGTTTTAATTTTTTTGCCTTTTTTTTATTTATGATAATTAATATATTGTTTAATAGACTTTTTTAAAATTTTTACAAATGGTCTAAATTTTAGAAAATTTTATAAATGGTTCTTATATGAAGTTTCAAAAAATTGTATAAATGGTTCTTATGGGGTCTTAACGTCTCTCTCTAACGAACATTAGTAATGAGGACCATTTGCATGCAAAGTTTTCTCCAAAAGGACCACGTATGCATAAAAAAAGTTTTATAAGGACTGTTCTGAAGATAAATTTTGAAATAAAAGCATCATTTGTGAAATCTACTCTAAAAAATAAAAGGTTTTTTTGATATTTGTCACACTTTCATTCAATTTGCCAAATATCATTTTGTAGTTATTTTGAATTGATTTTTTTTTCACATGTCATTTTATCAGTTTTCTATTTTATTAAATTTCACATAATATTTTAATGTAATAAATTTAGTAATAAATAGATATCAATATTATTAATCAACTTACTTTTTAATTTCAAAATTCTCAAAATTAAAGTTCGTTACTTTCTTTTGTTTATTTGTTCAAATTGTTTTCTTTTAATTTAAAAGATAAAAAACATTTTCATCATAATAATTCATTATTTTTCTTATTTTCTTATAAATTTAAAGTTCTCAAATATTTTGACATTTATATTTAACATTTTTTTAAAAAAAATGAACTCATGTAATAAATAGATCTCACAACTAGTTTTGTCTAGTATATGACAATGCATTCATATTTACTTATCTATATATCCCCTATCCTAATAAATAAGTAGAATCTATCCACGTGTCAATCTCCCAGCAGCCCAAAATTGTGTTTTCCCGCTTCTTTTCATCATCTACATTTACGTCCAGATCATATTCATATACATTCACAATAAATCCGAAAAATCTGCATCAATAAATCAAAATAAGATGCACAAATCGTAATTTAAAATTTGAAATTCCTTGATATCCAATCCAATAAAATATGGAAGTTTGTTTATTATAATGGGAAGCTAATTATTATCCAGTCAATAAATCCCAAAAAATCTGCACAAAATAAAATCATACCGAAATATATACCACTATTCATTCTTTACGCTTCTATTTTCTTCACCATTCTGCTTCAGAGAACTCATTACAAACGGTATTCAATCCTTCCTCTCTGTACCGGTTATAATTTCTTCATTTTATGATCGTTTGCTGCATATTCATCCTCCAGGACAAGAACAACTACAAAAGGTTAGCAATCTGAATTCATGCATTTATAAAAATTCGATAGCTGCATATATTTTTCGTAGTTTTGATGTTTATGTACTTAATTCTTCCACTTTAACAACTGTACATATATTTTTTTTTGTCAGATAACATTATATTTGAAGAAATGCCAATATTTTTTTTACTTATTACTTTACAAAAATGTCAATATTTTTTTACAAAAAATTTTATACGGATCAATATTTTATTATTTCATTAATGGATTATAAAAAATAAAAAAAAAAAAAAAAAAAAAAAACATTTGCCACTACTAATTATTGATATCTAACTTGGCATTACTATTTGTCATGTTATCTAATTGGAAGTTGCAGGGGCAAAATCACAATATACTTTATGGTAAGGGATACTGCATTGAGTTCTTCATATATCGAGGTTATACTTATCAAAAAAAAAATTGTGTTTGCAATCTATTTTTCTGTTCTTCATAGCAACAATATACTTTACGTGTTATCAGTAAGTATTTGACTGCTTCCCCTTCATTACTATTCAAATATTTGAAAAGGAATCCTATCCTAATTTGAAAATGGTATTCTATTTGTCAACCAATGCAAATACGTTTTAAATCTTTCAGGATTTTAATGAATCCAAAAAAAATCAGGAGTATATTACTCTTACCTTCTTTAAATTTGCATCTCCATTTAAATTCCTATTGCTATCACACATTTTACCCTTCATTCTAATTGACAAAATATTTTTTCTTCCACGACTTCTGCAAGAAAGAGATCATATAAATTGAGGTTAGTCCTTCTTCAATCACCACTAATAATCATATGTTTGTAAACCTAATTTAATAGCAATATACTTTTACTACGTACTTTCTTGCAATTGTTTGCCTAATATTATTGTCCAGACTAAGAACATAGAGGATTAACACACACTAATACACACACCTGGTATTGAAAACACATACGTACACACACAAATGCAAATCAAGATGGACTCTTACTCTGTTGGAAGCAAACACACAATAATCAAGAAGTCTTATTGTTGTTATTTGACTCTCCATTTTTTTCACCTGGCATTCGTTTTCTTGACATTATCCACCACTGGAAGCACAAAGAAATACAAGGAAAAAAGGCATCGGGTTAGTACTTTGATGTATGTGTATCTGATTGCTTTTTATCTGTATGTGTATCTTGCATATGTATCAAATTTTGTATTTCAGTTAGCTTTTGAAATATAATATAAATTACTCATAAATTATAATTTGTTGTGTTGTTGTTGTTTGTGCGGTTAAATCACTTTATTTTACTTGCTGCCACATTTTTTCCACCTTTTTCTTGAGATACATGAAAGACACCCTATTTAAAATTACATTGCTATTTCAGTTAGCTGTATGTGTATCTTTGTGTGTATTTCAGACAATTCACTTTTGAAAGTCAATCACCTGCTTCTCATTAGAAGGAAAAGTCTACTGTTTCGATTTCAATTGTATATATGATATAACATCCTACTTTCATAGATAAACAATAAAAAAATTAATGGTTTAGTATAACATCTTATTTCATTTTATAAGTAATTTATTTTAAAAAGAGTTAAAGTAATTTAGTAATTATTATTGAAGTCATTATAAGCGTATAATGAGTAAAGTAAATCGCTATTTACAGTAATTATTATTGAAGTCACTGTAGAGGGTAAATAATGTAAGCACATTGCTATTATAGGTAAAAGATAAAGTACAATGCCTATATTAATAAAGAGAGTAAAGTAAATCGCTATTTACAATAATTACACCCTCTAATATTTAATATAACTCACCAGCGTACACTCAAATTGCCTCAACCCTAGCCACTTCACGAGCAAGTACGCACAACTCCTTCCCCAAAAAAGTTTGAATTTTCCCTTTTCTCTCCTCTCTCCATCTGAACACCATTCCAAGTAACATTAACAACAAAACAATATAAAAACAACAAAATCTTATTACATTATTTTCTACAAATTAGAAAAATGGGGAAGCTTTTTGCTATTTTGATAGTTTTTTTAATTTGAATGCACAATATAACAACAGGCTTTGTTTGTTATGTTTAATATAACTTTCTACTTTCTTTATACTTTCAACTCACAATCTTTTAAATTACATTAAAAAAAACACCAAATTTTTACTTTTTTATCAAGATCATTCCACTTATTAATAATAGTAAATAAGAACCATCCAACAAAAAAGATGAAATAATTAAATTCATAAACGGTTCACAAGAAATTGTTTAAAACATAAATCTGTAAGTTCCAATATAAATTCATAAGCACAAAAGCTGGTGATCACAAACTAATTAATCTTCTATCATAAATTTCAAAAATAATTAAGCATCTAGCATAAATTTCAAAAAGTGATTAACCATCGTTAGCTTCTCTACTCTTTCTATATCCCATGTCCCTCCACCTACAAAATCTAATCATAATTTGAGGAAACATAAGCATTATAAATGATTTCTTGAAATTTAAAAATAATAATTATAAAAGGATCTATTTATATAATATATATGTTAATAAAATAAAAAAATCACGTGTTAATCAAAAAGATTCATGCCTTGCTCCATCCTGTTATGCCTAAAACTCATACCAAGCAGTAACCTTGAAATCCAAAAATGAAAATAAATTAGCAATTTTCTAAAGATATAGAGAGAAATTTGGATATAATGATGCACTACAATCATACGTTAATTACTAACAAATTACCGTTGGAAACTCTTCAACCCCAATCGATTTCCATATTCACCAAAAATAAAAACCTAATTTGTTTTACCTGTTATAATTGCAGCTTCATAATCGGTTCAATATATCCCAAAAATCACTCCAACTTAATCGGTAATTGCAACACATCCTTTTTAATCGGTAATCACAACACAACGTACCTCTTGTGCACCAATTTTCTTTTGAACCAAAGAGCTATGAGTTAGATCTTTATAAAGGTATTTACTTTATCTATATTAAAAATAAGTTGGATCTTTGTGTAAATCTTTAATCCAATTTCATGTCTAACCTTTAAATTTAGTCCCTATACTTGTAAAGAATACCAACATGAGTCATGTTTACTTTTTTTTTTTACACGTATTTAGTTACCATTTCATTTTTAAATAATTTTCAATATATATATATATATATATATATATATATATATATATATATATATATATATATATATATATATATATATATTTCAATCATTAGTACCTTTACAATTTTTATTTAACACAATAAATTACTCTATAAAATTTATATATTTCATCATTGGCGTTTATTTTTTAAAATAACAATTAAAACTTTACAAAATTATTTATTCATAGTTAATAATAACTAGATAGATAGTTATTGGTGCCATGTTGCTCTAATTTATTTCTTTTATACATATTTTTTTTTCTAAATGTCATATTTACTCATAGTATAGTAAAACATATTTACCTATAATTTAACAAAACTTAGATAAGTATCCACAACAATGTATATATTAAATTTAACTAATCAATATATACTTATAAACAAAACTTCTATATTTGTAATTTAATAATTTTTTATTTTTTATTATCATTTTAAATTATCAATAATGTTTTGCTTTTTTACCCGTGGTTTCCACGGGTTTTAACCTAGTATATATATATATATATATATATATATATATATATATATATATATATATATATATATACTTATAAATAAAAAAAATTTCCTTTCACCACATTCATTTAAAACTCCTATGACTTTTCAATTTCTTTCTAATAATGATTATAAGTTGGTTGATAAGATTAAATAAATATTAAACCTAAAGTGTAATCATATATAAACTAAATTTCAATATTAAAAGAATATCTTTACTTCTACTTATAAAGTTATGTTTTTTAACTTTTAACATATTATACTTAATTTATTAGTTTTAATATATTGTTGGATGTAAACCATTATCATTTCAAAACTACAACTTTTGAACTATTTGTATAAAATACTTAAATTATAAATTTAAATATTACATTACACAATCAACTTAAATATAAATTTTAGTTTAATTTAAACAACCTAAATAATATTTTGTAAATAGTTAAAACTGATAAATTGTATTGTCTTTCTAATAATGATTATAAGTAGGTTAATAAGGTTAAATAAACATCAAACATAAAATGTAATCATAAATAAACTAAATTTCAATATTAACATAATATCTTTACTTATACTTATAAAGTTCTATCTTTAACTTTTAACATATTATACTTAATTTATTAGATTTAATATGTTGTTGTATGTACACCATTATTAGTTTAAAGCTACAACTTTTGAACAGTTTGGACAAAATACTTAAATTGTTAATTTAAATATAACATTACAGTGTCAACTTAAATATAAATTTCAATTCCACTTAAAAAACTCAATGAATATTTTTCAATAGTTAAAAGTGATAAATTATAGTGCTAAATGAAAAAACTAAATTATAATATCAATTTGACTAAAATATTTCCTAAAGATATTTTTATAATTGTTAAAAGTTTTCAAATAAGTAGCTTAAAATAACTTACGATAACAATAGTTAAAAATAACTCTATATAAATGATTATATTGTTACCTTTAAAATTAAAAAACAATGTTTGATGTTTTAAATAATTGTAATCATAGAAATTAAAACGTTAAACAAATAAATTTTAAAAATCAATTAACAATAACCACAACTATAAATAACATCAAACCATATTTTATGCTTAATTTTATTCATGAGTAACTTGCAGGTAAAAATCATTCAAACGGCTGAGATTATGCAGTTATAATAGATGTATATATTATCATAGAATTCAAAATAATCAATATATTATATCAATTTAGTATACGAATTATTATATCAAATTAATAACAACGTTATTGTTATATTTAAAAAAACATATATTTGTAAAGATTTCAACTATATATGTGTTTCTAAGTAACGCGCGCGAGAATTCTCCTATTATCTAATAAAGGAAGCATTTTTCTTTGATTCTTATGTATTTTCAACCCCCTAAATTAATTTCCTGGATTCTTATGCATTTGAAACCCCCTAATTTAATTAATACCACTTAAAAGACTTTTTAATAATAATTATTAATTTGTTCTTTAATGTAAAAATAACATTAACAACATCAAACATAACAAGACCAAGTATAAATACAGTGAATAATATTAATATATGACTCATGCATACACAAACAAATCTTGTTGATTATTTTAATTTATTTGAATAGATTTGGTTTTCATCATCATTCCTTTAACAACGAAAATTATCTCTATCTTTACTATCTGGCACTTCCCCATATGTATCCATGCGTGTAAGAATTTTTATCTTTCTTAAGATTTTCTGTTAAAACCATTTAAATATTTAAGAGTATAAAAAAAGATGGAAAATAGTGAAATATTCATCCATAGCATCACAAGGTGGATTTATTGAACCCAAGAATTTATTGGAAAATTTGAAGTCGTATTAGCAAATGTATTGCTACATATAAATTGTTTTACATGTCAATTGGTCTTATTTTCCATTAAAGTCATAATTTCCTATTTGATCCTATAAAATATCACATGTGAACTAAAGGCAGACCATTCATATTTTAATGTTGTATTGGTACAATTGATACCAATGAGATGACATGCTCATTTTGAAGTCATGAGAAGGTAATCATTTTAGCTTTCATTCTTTTGTATATATACATTTAGTCTCAACCAAGCATTTTTCGTCACAGGGGTGTGTTTATATTAGTCTCTAATAGAAATTAGATGTTGGTATCCAGACTATGCCTATGTCGTTTTAGTTTGCCGATGTTGGAATATGAAAATTAATATGATGCATCGATATGCATTTAACAAATAATAAGTACATCACATTATTTACTTAGTCGATACTAATGGATATAAATGTCATTTTGCGCATTTGCAGTTGCGTAATCTTCATTGAAGCACAACAGTAGAGGTGTGTGGTGATAAACAAACATAGATTTCGTAGTATTTGTTGGATGTTTTGGCTTTGATAGAAAATAACCCATCAAAAAAAAAAAAAAAAAAAAAAAAAAAACATTAATATATTTCTAAAAATGAAAACGTTGTATTTTGAATAACATGTAATATTAGGGTAAAATATGAAAGGTGTTATGATATAAATATCAATAACATATATTAATTTAGTATTTATTTGTCAAAATTTTAAGTACGTAATTTTACATTGCGTAAAGCGCGACTATTCGCCTGGTCATATCATATCATAATCATAATCATCATATCATCATATCATATCATAATCATACATCATATCATACATACTTATAAAGCTAACATTTTTTCTTGAATCTCATGCATTTGAAACCCCCATAAAAATTTGCCAACACCTCATGCATTTGAAACCCCCACACCCTTTCACCTTCAAAGTAATTAATCACACATAATCTCATTCCAAGAAAATCACACACTTTATAAGTTCAACACCTCATGCATTTCAAACCCCCACACCCTTTCACCTTCATTATATATGTAGTTATATTAGTACATTTTTCTTACAAAAAGTCGTCATTTGGTAGAAGATATTATGATACAAAAGTTTTCATATAGTTAAATCATTCACGATCCAAATATGATGATTTGAATAAATGAGTTATGTCGCATCGATGATAATTGTAATATGATTTTTTTCTTTTAACCAAAACAAATGAAGCTTTTCTATTATTTCTTTATATTCAATTTCTCATTTGTCCTTTATATGTGATTTGTATGGATTACTCAATCTTGAATGTGACTCTCCAAACATCAATGTTTCGTTTGGAATATCTTTCTCATTCTTCTTTTTCAAAAATTACATTTTGATTGCAGGTTGGTGAAGAATTATCATCAAGTTTCTATGGTTGAATGGTGTCCAATAAATAAAGAAGATTCAGAAAACGGATATAGTTTTTTGTTTTTTGAGCAAAGTAGACGAATGTTGGGTTTTTTTTTTAATGTATATTTATGTAACATTTTTATTTATATATTCAACCACCCAATGTTCTTATTTATTTGATTGTAGTTTTTCTATTTTGATTATGTTTGTTTTCTATTATTTTTTTGTTGGATTATCCTACACAACATATTTACAAGCCAATATTTAAAAGATAACATAATTTTTAATATCTGATATGTAATTATGTCGACTTATTATGATATGTTCTTCATATGAAATTAATTTATCCATATAACTACAACAAGAATCACATATGACATTCACGAAAATATATATTATATGTGATTTGTTTAACATATATATGCACCTATGCATGTTATAAATTTATAATTAAATATATTTATGTTTAATAATTCAAGGGATTAAAATGATGCATCAAAACCAATTATTTAGACGAATATAATAATAATAATAATAACAATAATAATAATAATAATAATAATAATAATAATAATAATAAATACACATTTTCAAGTACGTTCATTTGAAACTCATACTACAACTCAAAAGTTTTCTAATTTATGTATATTTATTATTTACAACTCAAGAGTTTTTAACTTACGATTATTAATTAGTAATCACTAATAACTTTTTATTTTCCTTTTTTTTATAAGGTTGTAAAGTTTTGCTCATTAAAAACATTAATGTATTTGAAGATATTTGTGACTTAAATATGAAAAGTTAATATAAATGTTATAATAAATGTTTTAGTGTTTTTATGTTATTAAAAGTTGGATTGTTTATTTATCATATTTTTTTATTATTCGTGTGTGTGTATAAGGTTGTAAAGTTATAATAGATGTTTTTGTATTTTATGTTACTAAAAGTTTTTAACTTATGATTACTAATAATTTTTTTATTTTCCTTTCTTTTATAAGGTTGTAAAGTTTTGCTCATTAAAAACATTAATGTATTTAAAGAGATTTGTGATTTAAATATGAAAAGTTAATATAAATGTTATAATAAATATTTTAATGTTTTTATGTTATTAAAAGTTGTAGTGTTTATTTTTCATGTTTTTGATTATTTGTTGTGTATATATATATATATATATATATATATATATATATATATATATATATATAT